AGATTAATAAATGATCTTTATACTCACGGACTAGAATAAAAAGATTATTTAATGAGTAAATATTTTATGAACATGAACTGCAGATTTTAATACATAGATTAATAAATAATCTTTATACTTACCGACTAAAAAAAGATTATTTAATGAGTAAATATTTATGAACATGAATTGCAGATTTTAAATATATAGATTAATAAATAATCTTTATATTCACGAACTAGAATAAAAGATTATTTAATGAGTAAATATTTATGAACATGAATTGCAGATTTTAAATCCGTAGATTAATAAATGATCTTTATACTCTCAGACTAGAATATAAAATATTAGTAATGAACTTGAATTCTGATTTGATGCTTGATATAATACTTACTCTAAGTTAAATAATAAATAGCTTTGAGAAATATTTAGTTATTATTTTAAAATTAGAAATTTAATTCTAACAAATAACATACTTTTTAATCTAATAATTATATTTCTTCTTATGAAATTCCACGCCAATTCTATATCTGTAACAAATAGCTGGTTTAAAAATTCTTTTAGAATTACTTGCTTCAGCTGATATAAAAATGCAGTTTGCTTGTCTATTTAAACCCCAATTCCTAAATAATAACAATAGCCAACTTGATACATTCCGTTAGAATCATTCATTTCTGCAGATTTTTTATAATAAATGAATACCTGATTTTTATCCTTTTCTACTCTAATTCCATTCATAACAATAACTAAGCCATAACGTTTCGTCCGAACTACCTATCTCAGCATGTATTTGGCAATCAATAAAATTCAGTTGATTAAGAATGCTAGTAATTTTAGTAATTTTCATATTAATTTTAGTATTAAAATATTAGAATAAAACTAATATACAGTAGTTCTATAGCAAATCCTACAACAGCTGCGGAGCCTAGCCACTAATGATGCCTGATGAAGCTATTTTGGCCATGACAAAATGGTTTCGCCAATAGTTTCGTCTGATGAAACTTTGATGAGTGATGAAATTACAGACGTTTGACAAATACTGATGATTGACAAAATTCCTGACGAAATTCATTTGACTAATAAAATATCAAAATACAGTTGACTCTCAGTCGATAAGCTTTATTATAACAACCTCTGGATATTCTGAATCATATATTTTTTCCAAATTACTGTTATTTCATCAATGTAAAGATTCATCAATTCATATGAAAAACAATAATTTTTTAATTGACAACGAACTTTTCTACTGTTCTATTAAATAGACAGTTCGTTATAAAAAATTATCTCTACAAAACTAACAAGCTCATACAAAATTTAATTTTAGCTTTACATTACATTGAATCCGAAGCTGATAATTCTTTTTATTGTCAGTAGATTGCCTTCATCAGACTCATAGGATATCTAATAATAAATAAGTGAATTTACGTTTGTATTATTTCACCAACAATTGCTTTATAGAAAACATAGTTTATAGATAATTATTAGTACATAATATTACTTGCACTTTATTAAAGAATACTTGTAGAATTTGTTTTTTTTTTTGTATTATTTGATTCATCTAGGTGTGATGAATCAAATGGTATAAACATCATCAATAAATTATGTGTAAACTTCAATATAATTTGATCTGCTACTTTTTTTATCTATACTGAATTACTCACTTTACCTTATATCATAGATTTGATTTTTAGGTACTAATTATAAACAACACAATATATATTGGTATATAACATAGATTAGAATATTTTGTATTAGTGAATATGGCCAAATTAAGTTTAATTTAGATCAAAATTAAATTAATTTTTTTTTTATGTCCAATAAAAAAATTTACTATGTCCAATTAAATTATTTGAACAATTGGACATTGTCCAAATGTCCAAATGTCCAAATTGTCCAAATGTCCAATATTATGACATGCCATCCCTGCTTTAAAGAGTTTTAATAAGATCTACGTATATTACAGTTTAACTAATATTATTATAGTCATTAGAATATAGAAACGAATGTATATTTCATTATGATTTTTTAAGTATAATAGATAATCATAAGTTCATCATATAACTATAAACCTTAGGAAACTGTTCATGTGATAGTTCCATAATAACAAATTAATAAAATCTAATCGGCCAAGGAAGTGGCCTTAATAACAAAAAAAAAAGATAATCATAAGTTAATACAGTAATATGGATATTTTTTACTTACTCTATGTTATTATTTAATGAGATTAATTTGAGCTTTGGATATAATTTTGATTTTTTTTGAATTTATGATTTTATTGGCTAATTGACATATGATATTCGTGTAACTGCAGCAATCAAATAAAAAAATTTTTAGCAGGCAAATTTGCCCGCTGGACGGTTTAAGAGATAATGCAGAATTCAGACTTATCACGGACGGGGAATTGGCCGCAGAAAATCATCATCCCTGATTGTACTATTCTAAACCATTTTAAAAAAAATCATCTTAAAAAAGCACACGTTCGATTTAACAAAAATTTCAGTATAAAAAATTGTGTAACTGTGATTTTTTAACAGAAATAAACAACCAATCATAACAAAAATTCACCATGTTGAAGTTTCTTCTTTTGCCAGAGGTTTCGTCTTTAGCCAGAGGTTTCGTTTTTCGTAAGGGGTTTCGTCCTTTACCAAGTGCTTCGTCTTTCACCAGAGTTTCTTCATTTCGCCATTTTAACTTGTTAGGCGAAAACTCTAAGTTTCGTTTATATGCAACGGAAGTTGATCCTTCAAAGAATAATGAAACTGATAAAGATAAGAAATCAGATCGCGAAGAAACTCCTGATAAAGAGACAAAGGGTGAAGAAACATTTAAAATTCCAAAAGGTTTCGAGAATTTTTTTAATAAAAATGCAGATAAACTTAAACAAATTGCAAAAGAACAAACTCCAAAAACAAGTACACCTGATAATAATAATTCACGATCACAAGAAGAACAACAAAAACCAAAAAAACAACAACCACCGATCAAAGAATTTAACTTACATTTAAATGTTAATACTATACTTCCACTCTTATTTTCGGCTTATATATTATATAAAATTGTTGGTGGTACTGATAATTCTAGAGAGATTACATGGCAAGAATTTCGAACAGCATTTTTATATAAAGGTTTGGTAGATAAACTAGTTGTGGTTAATAGAAAAAAAGTACGCGTATATTTACATTCAAACGCAACTGGACAGATGTATCCAAATGCTCCTACTTTACCGGGTTCGAGTTATTATTTTAGTATCGGATCTGTTGAAGCATTTGAACGTAAATTAGAAGATGCTCAAAATGAATTAGGAATCCCATCTACTGAGCGTATACCTGTAGCATATCATGATGAGATTAATTTAATGAGTACATTATTACATTTTGCTCCAACTCTTCTCTTGGCTGGAGCTTTATTCTATATTACGAGACGTGCAGGTAGTGCGGCAGGATCACAAGGTATTTTTGGTATTGGAAAATCGAAAGCAAAATTATTCAATCAAGAGACTGAAGTCAAAGTTAAGTTCAAAGATGTTGCAGGAATGGATGAAGCTAAAGAGGAAATCATGGAATTTGTAAAGTTTTTAAAAGATCCTACAGCTTACGAAAGATTGGGAGCCAAAATTCCCAAAGGAGCTATTTTAAGCGGACCTCCAGGTACAGGTAAAACTTTACTTGCGAAAGCCACTGCAGGAGAAGCAGGAGTTCCTTTCTTGAGCGTGTCAGGATCAGAATTTGTTGAAATGTTTGTTGGAGTTGGGCCATCCAGAGTACGAGATTTGTTCGCAAATGCTAAAAAACACGCACCATGTATAATTTTTGTCGACGAAATTGATGCGATAGGAAAATCAAGAGGAAAAATAGGACAATTTGGTGGAAATGATGAAAGAGAAAGTACATTAAATCAATTACTCGTAGAAATGGATGGGTTTAGTACAAACGAACATGTAGTCGTGTTAGCAGGTACTAATAGACCTGATGTGTTAGATTCAGCATTGATGCGTCCAGGACGTTTTGATCGTCATATTGCCATTGATCGACCTGATATTAAAGGAAGAAGTGCCATTTTTAAAGTACATTTGAAACCAATCAAAACAAAAGAGGATATTGAACGTTTATCAAACAAATTAGCGGCGTTGACACCAGGATTTTCAGGGGCAGACATAGCTAATGTTTGTAACGAAGCGGCACTGATCGCAGCACGTTATCGTAAAGATTGGGTATCCGAAGAACATTTTGAGAAAGCTATT